GAATGCCTGAAATCAGAAAGACTCATTTTCCTGAGTTCAAATTTTGCCTCAGACTTGGGCAAATCACTTAAGGCTGTTTGGCCAAGTTCCTCTTCAAAATGAGCTGAGGAGGTGTTCCAATAAGGCAGAGTGAAAGCAGTGACTTGCTTGAGCTCTCCCCCAAAGCCCCACCAAACACTTGTAAAAAAAGGTTCTAAAGAAATTCTAGTGTAGCATAACCAACAGATAGACAGAGTGAAATAAATTTCCAGCCCAAGACAACCTGGATGGTTGATTAGAAAGATCTATCGCATGGGCTGTGAGAGAAACACAGTTCAGTGTGGGGGCTTGAGCAGGGAAAGAACAGCTTTTCAATTAAATATAATCAAAATGATCTATTTTACATCCCGTGATGCTCTCTATCTCTTGTTCATTGACAAACCTGTAACTCACTTAATTTCTCCTTTAAGAACTTGGATTCTATACCACTTGGTGCATTTATGTTTGTATTGAAATTACTTAAATGTGTATGTTACCTTTTAGCAAGATGTAGTTTCCTTTCTTATCTCTTTTTATTAGGTCTTTTTGCTTTTGCCTTGTCTGAGATCAACATTGCTACCCCCGCTTTTTTTTTTTTTATTTTACTTCAGTTGAAGCATAATAGATCTGTCTCCAGCTCCTTACCTTTACTCTATGTGTATCTCTTTTCTTCAAGTGTGTTTCTTATAAACACCATATTGCAGGAGTCTGGTTTTTGATCTATTCTGTTACTCATTTCTTTTTATAGGAAATTTCATGCCATTTACATCTACAGTTATTTACTAACTGTATTTCCCTCCATCCTATTTTTCCTCCTGTTTGTCCTCTCTCTCCTCTCACTCTTTCTGTCCTTCACAGTGTTTTGCTTCTCTCTACCACCTCCTCGATCTGACTTCTCTTCTGTCACTTCCCTTCTGTCCTCCTGCCTTTACTTAATCTCCTCACTTCCTACTTTCCTGTGTGGTAAGATAGATTTCTATATTCAACTGTGTGTATATCATTCCCTCTTTTGAGCCAATACTGATGAGAGTAAGGTTCAAGCTGATGCCCATTGCCCACCATCCCATTTTCCCCTCCACTGTAATAGGTCTTTCACTCTTCTTCATGTGAAATAATTTACCCCCTTCTGCCTTTCCCTTCCTTCTGCACTGGTCCTCTTTCTCATTCCTTAATTATTTTTTATGTCCTTACCTCAAATTCACGTCATACGCGCACCCTCTGTCTATGTATATTCTTTCTAGCTGTACTATTAGTGGTATAATTTTTAAGAATTACAAGTATTATCTTTCCATGTAGGGATGTAAACAGTTCATCTCCACTGAATCCCTTACGTGCCTTTTTTCCTTTTTCTCTTATTAGAGTTTTCTTAGGTCTTGATATTTTGGGGTGAGATTTTTTTTGTTCAGTTCTGGTGTTCTCCTTATGAAAGCTTGAAATCCATCTCTTTCAATGAATGACCATTTTTTTTTTCCCTTACAGTATTCTGCTTAATTTTGCCAGGTAGGTGATTCTTAGTTGTAGGACTAGCTTTTCTGCCTCCCTGAATATCATGTTACATGAACTCTGATCCTTTAATTTTGCAGCTGCTAAGTCCCGTGTAATCTTGATTGTGGCTCCCTGATAGTTGAATTGTCTTTTTTTGGCCACTTGCATTATTTTTCCTTGATTTGATAGTTCTGTAATTTGGCTATAATGCTCCTTGGAGTTTTTATTTGGGGAACTCTTTCCTGAGGTGATTACTGGATTCTTTCAGTGCCTATTTGGCCCTCTGGTTGCAGGGCTTCAGGGCAGTTTCTTCAATAATTTCTTGAAAGATACTGTCCATGTCTTCCTTTTGATTACGACTATCAGGCAGTCCAGTGATTCTCACATTGTCTCTCTTAAATCTAATTTCTTGATCAATTTTTTTTCCAATGAGGTATTTCACCTTTTCTTCTAATTTTTCATTCTTTTGAATTTGTTTGATTGATTCTTGGTGTTTCATAGAGTCATTAATTTCCACTTGCCCAGTTCTAACTTTTTTATTTTTTATTATTTTGGTTTTTGGTGAGGCAGTTGGGGTTAACTGAGTTGCCCAGGGTCACACAGCTAGTAAGCGTCAAGTGTCTGAGGCCAAATTTGAACTAAGATCCTCCTGACTTCAAGGCCAGAGCTCTATCCAGCTGCCCCCACAGAACAGAGAAAAGCAAACAAAAACATATCCTAAACTTAAATATTGGAACTTAATTGGAGAGTAAGAAAAGAAAAAAAAAGCATGTCATGTGCATAGAGAACATGAGAGGATTCTAATCATGTAACAATAAATCTTCAAGAAAGCCTGTATGATTAATATCACACATTTTATTGAGAGCTGTCTACCTTTTCTTTGTTTCCTTTTAAGATTTCTTTTGTTCTCTGCTATGAACTTTTTTTGCTTTGTTCTTTTTTTCCCCTCCCCTGCCCCAGAAAGCTACAATTGAGTGCAGATATATTTCTCTATACCTATAAATACACACACACACACACACATATATATATATATATATATATATATATATATATATATATGTATGTATATATATATATATATATATATATACATACACACACACACACACACACACACACACATATTTAAATATATAGACATATGCATTCCCAAACAAATTCTACACCTGATCTTTCTTTTATGTTGGTGTGTATATCTTGTTTTTTGTCCCTCTTGAGTCCTCTACTTTACTTATACTCATTATCTTGCCCTTCTGTTACTTAGCCTACCCCCTTCCAAGTATCCCTCTCCTATCCTCCCATTCCCATAAATGGGCCCTTCTACCCTATTCTCTAATCCTCCTTTAGTAAACCCTCCCTTGTCCTCTCCCCCCTCCCTATCTCATCATCATTTTATGTCTTCTAAATTTAAAAGACTTTTATATTCTTCTAAATACACACACATACACACACACACACAGTTTCCTTTTAAACCCATTAGTGATGAAAGTAGGTTACCAGAACTACCAGCCCTCCTCCCCCATCTAATTCCCCTGAATTGATTCTTCCTCTTGCACCTCATTTGTATAAAACAACTACTCTTTTTAGCTGTTCCTAAATGATTTTGCTTTTTAAAGTCATATCATATACAGGTTGACTCAAATGTTTTTTATGAGCTACCCAATTATTTTTTTGGTTTTTTGTTTTATTTTTATTAATTTATTTTACCAATAATCACTTCCATACGCTTTTGAGTTTAAAATTTTTTCCCCCTTCCCCCCCACCACCCTCCCCAAGACAGCACACAATCTGATATAGGCTATACATTTGCATTCCTATTAAACATATTTTCACATTAGTGATGTTGTAAGTAAAAATTAAAACCAAGAGGAGGAACCATCAGAAAGAGGAAACAAAACTCAACAGAAGAGAAAAAAAAAGCAATTCAACTTCCACAGTTCTTTCTTTGGATGTGGATAGCATTTTCAATCATGAGGCCTGTGGAGATGTCTTGAGCTACCCAATTATTAATAAGAATCTTAGACATACATTTTATGTTTTACATATACAAAAAGTAAACAGTCTGCCCTTATTGAATCCCTCATAATCAGTCTTTGGTAGGTACCTTATGTTTCTCTTGGCTTTTGCATGTTGAAACTTCAATAAAGCTCAGGTGTGTTTTTTTTTTTTTTCCAACAAAATCTTGAAAGTCTGACAGTTGATCAAATGTCCCTTTTTCATTCAGGATTATGCTGAACTTTGCTGGGTATGATATTTTCAGCTGGAACCTCAGTTCTTTTGCTCTTTGATATATAGTGTTGCAAGACCTGTCATCCTTTAAGGTCTTTGCTTCTAGGTCTTCTGTGATTCTAATTGTGGCACCATCATATTTAAATTGTTTTTCTTGTTGTTTTTAATATTTTATCTTTGAGCTGTGGGTTTCAGAATTTGACTATAATATTCCAATGAGTTTTCCTCACAGGGTATACTTTAAGTGGTGATTGATAGATTTTTTTTTTCTATTTCTACTTTCACCCCCTTGTTCTAATGCTTCAGGACAATTTTCTTTAATTATTTCTTGTGTTAGTGTATCAAGATTCTTTTTTTGATCATAGCTTTCAGTTAATCCACTTATTTTCATGTTTTCTCTTCTTGATCTGTTCTCTAGATCTGTTGTTTTTCTTGTAAGATGTTTCATTTTCTCTTCTATTTTTTCATTATTCATATTTTGTTTAACTATTTCTTGATCTGTTATAATTTCGCTGGCTTTTGCCTTGCCCAATTCTAATTTTCAAGGTGTCATTTTGTTCCTTAAGATTCTGGATCTCCTTTTCTAATTGGTTGACTTTCATAGTCTTCTTGTTTTTCTTGGCTTATTCTCATTTTTTTTTTTTTTAGTTTTTCCTCCATCTCTCTCATTTGATTTTTTTTTTGGGGGGGTGCTAGGTAAAGCTTTCTGACCAGTAGCCCAGAGTCCACCACTGTTCCTTCTCTTTAGTCTGTCTAGAACAGGGACTATATATTAGGGAAAACAAAATTATGGTGGCAGACAAGAAATGAGGTCCAGGAGGTTATACTGGGCTGGGTTAAGCAAGGGGAAGGCCCAGCTTCAAGACTGAAAGACAGACACCAAGACAACCACCTGGACAGGTCATGTGACACCCTCCCCATTTCCCTCCCTCCCCACTCCATTGACCCTGCCCTGCCTCCTGGTATCCCCATAGACTATTCTCAGCAACCCCCTCTGGGAGTTGCAGTCTTTGCTTTCTGTCCCCAACAAAACTGCACCAGTGGAAATGTCCCTCAGGTTTTCACCAAAGAACCATGCTCCAGGCTTTCCTGTGTCAGTACCTTGGGATTGGCTCTAGGCATGGGATGAAAATGGTCCTTGGTACCAGGATGCCAAGAAGGTTGCAAACAGCCCACTCCCACCCTGGGGTCTGCATGTCCTTGGTTCTTGCCTCAGGCAGGATGCTGTTGGGGCTGGAGGGAGATGTGGTTGCCACTCCATCCCAGGGATGGGGTGGGGGGGCATCTAGGCCCTTGAGCTCCCCTGAGAATCTGTCTCTGTTTTAGATGAAGTGCTATCAGAGTCTATTTCAGCACTGTCCTGCTGAGGTTTCTCCTGCACCTTCAGACGAATTGCCCCGAGGCGAATCAAGAGAAACTCATAGTCAAAGGTACCTCGATTCTCCCCAAAAGGTTCCTGCATTTCACGGTCTTGGAGGTATAGTCGGTCTTTGCACGCCACCTCATAGATGTCATAATACTCCAGAAAGGACTTCTCCATCACACCCCTCAGGGGCTCAGGGCAGGGACATTTTCCCTCCAGCATGTCACAGACTGCCACTCTGATGGTCTCATGTCGGATATACTCATTGTACTTTTCGCTGTCTCCTGGGTGTTTCTCCTCCTCAAAGCCAGGCTCATTGTAGTAGGGGTTTTCATTCATTAGTGACTGGATGGAGATTAGCACGGAGGAGATGCTCTGGGCTGGGCTCCAGGCAGGGCCAGTCCAAGTCCCCAGAATACTCAGGCAGACTTTCCCACTGCTGTAGAAGTTGGGGTTAAAACTCACCCTGTTATTGCCCGTGGTCATCAGTTTGACCCTCGGTGGGCGGATAGGATAATCTGGAGGACAGCGAAACAGGAACAAGAAGAAGCCCCCTTCATAAGGAGTGTCAAACGGGCCCATGATCAATGCATGGATCTTAGTCATGTCCAGGGGATCCGGCACAACAAACACGCCGGGGGGCGGCTCCTTGTAGAGGGCCGTGATGTCCCGCTTGATCCGCAGCAGGCACTGCGGCCCAGGGCGCTCGCTGTCCCAGTCCGAGCTCCGCGTCGGGTCCCAGGAGAATGGGGGACTGCGCGGCACGGCCAGGCAGGCAGAGGCCGAGGTCGGGAGCCCGGGCAGCTGGGCAAGGTGTCCCCGCGGCCCACCCGAGTCGCCCGCCTCCGCCTCCGCCTCCGCCTCCGCCTCGGCCTCCGCCTCCACCTCCGGGTCCACCTCCGCCTCCGCCACCTCCGCCCCGGCCACCTCCGCCTCCGCCTCCGGGTCCACCTCCGCCTCCGCCCCCGCCTCCGCCGCCTCCGCCTCCGCCACCTCCGCCCCTGCCACCTCCGCCTCCGCCTCCGCCGCCCCCGCCCACACGTCTGGTACGACAGGTGGCCCGAAGCCGCCGCTGCTGCTGCCGCCGGCGCCGGAGACCTCAGCCCCCTCACCGGAGGTCCCCTCACCCTTGGCCCCGGCAGTCGCCACCTCCGCAGTCGGACTCTCCGCCATCGCCGCTGCCCCGCTCAGCTTCCGCTTCTGCGACTCTATGCAGACGAGTCCAGGAGTCTGCTGGCCAGAGCGGCCTCTCCTTGGATTTTCAAAGTCTTTTTTAAGTTCTTCTATGAATTCGTTTTGGGCAGGTGACCATTTGACATTACTCTTTGGGGGCAGGAGGGGATTTTTTGTTTCAATATGCTCCTCTAAAGATGAAACCCGTTCTTCTCTATTCCCACAATAGCTCTCTGTGGTTGGATTCTTTCTCCTCTGCCTGTGAATTTTTGTAGCAATAGCTTCCTTTGGGTAATCACCTCTAGCCCTGGGGTAGGGGGATGGTGCCTCTGGCCCCAGCTCTTCAGTTCTCCCCCCCTGGCCTGGAACCAAAGCCAAACCTGCAGCCTCCTGTCAGTGTCCACAGCCAGGGGCCTTCTGTGCCACTGCTTCTGCGCTCACCAGGTGGGCGTGGCCGGTTCCTTCTCGCCCCCTCAGCTCTCTGCGTCACAGCTGGCTCTGGCCTTCTTTGTCAGCAGAGGTTCCTTTGATCTTCCTGGCTCAGAAGCCCTACTGCGCTCACAGTTTGAGGGGGTAAAGGTTCTTGGAGCTGGGGCCGAGGCAGCCTCCCAAACCAGTTAACCCCAGGGTTTGTGGCTTGTTGTTTAAGCAGCTTGCAGCTTGCTGTTAACACAGCCCCTAGCCTTGAGGGGTTTAGTCTTCACAGGGGCCAATTCCATCCGGGAAATGTTCTTCTCATCTTCTGGAATTGTCCCAGGAAGATTCCTGGTGTGCCTCCATTCTGATTTATTTTTACTGGCACTTTGTTTGCCCTAAGGTACTAGTTTGTCTCTTTTGAGGGGAAAATCTTGAGAGCTTGGAATTTTCTGACCTACTCCACCATCTTCCCAGAATCTTCTCTGCTAATTCTAACTTTTAAGGAGGCTTTTTTTCCTGTTAGCTTTTGTACTTTCTTTTCCATTTGGCCAATTTTCCTTTTTTCTTAATTTATTTTGATTTATCAACAATCACTTCCATAAGCTTTTGAGTTTTAAATTTTTCTCCCCCTCCCTTCCCAAGACACTGCACAATCTGATAGAGGCTACACATATACATTCCTATTGAACATATTTTCACATTAGTGATGTTGTAAGGAACAATTAGAACCAATAGGAAGAACAACCAGGCAGAAGAAACAAAACAGAAGAAAAAAAGAGCAAAGTATGCTTCAATCTGCATTCAAACTCCACAGTTCTTTCTTTAGACGTGGATAGCATTTTCCATCACGAGACCTTTGGAGATGTCTTAATTTCTTGCATCACTGAGAAGGGCTAAGCCTATCAAAGTCAGTCATTGCACAGTGTGGCTGTTACTGTGTACAAAGTTCTCCTGGTTCTGCTCACTTCACTCGGCATCAGTCCAAACAAGTCTTTCCAGGTTTTTCTGAAGTGCACCTGCTCTTCATGTCTTGTAGCACAGTAGTATTCCATTACATTCATGTATCACAACTTATTCAGCCATTCCCCAGTGGATAGGCAGCCCCTCAATTTCCAATTCTTTGGCACCACAAAAAGGGCTGCTATAAATATTTTTGTACATGTGGGTCCTTTTCCCATTTGCATGATCTCCTTGGGATACAGCCCTAGAAGTGCTATTGCTGGTTCAAAAGCTATGAACATTTTTTATACTCCTTTGGGCATAGTTCCACATTGCTCTCCAAGATGGTTGGATCATTTCACAACTCCACCAACAATGCATTAGTGTTCCAATTTTCCCACATGTTCTCCAACATTTATCATTTTCCTGTCTTGTCATGTTGGCCAATCTGATAGGTGTAAGGTGGTACCTCAGAGTTGTTTTGATTTTCATTTCCTTAATCAATAGTGATTTAGAGCATTTTTTATATGACTATAGATGGCTTTAATTTCTTCATCTGAGAACTGCCTGTTCATATTCTTTGACCATTTATCAATTGGGGGATGATTTGTATTCTTATAAATTTGACTTAATTCTCTATATATTTTAGAAATGAGGCCCTTATCAGAGACACTGGTTGTAAAACTTCTTTCTGACTTTTCTACTTCCTTTCTATTCTTGGTTGTATTGACTGTGTTTGTGCAAAAACTTTTCAGTTTAATGTAATCAAAATTATCCATTTTGCATTTCATAATGTTCTCTATCTACTGTTTAGTCATGAATTCTTCTGTTCTCCATAAATCAACAGGTAAATTATTCCTTACTCTCCCAGTTTGCTTATATCATCAGCCTTTATATCTAAATCATGAACCCATTTTGACTTTATTTTTTGTATATGGTATGAGATTTTGGTCTATGCCTAGATTTTTCCATCCTTTTTTCCAGTTTCCCCAGCAATTTTTGTCTAATAGTAAGTTCTTATCCCAGAAGCTGCGGTTTGGGGGTTTGTCAAATAGTAGATTACAATAGTCATTGACTACTGTGTCTTGCATACCTAACTTATTCTACTGATCCACCACTCTATTTCTTAGCCAGTAACAAGTAGTTTTGATGATTGCTGCTTTAAAATACAATTGAAGATCTGGTATGGCTAGGCTACCTTCCCTAGCATTTCTTGTCATTAAGTCCCTTGATATTCTGGACCTTTTATTCTTCCAGATGAATCTTGTTATTATTTTTTCTAGCTCCATAAAATAACTTTTTGGTAGTTTGGTATGGCACTGAATAAGTAAATTAATAAATGGCCCATTTTTAAGATGAAGAAAATGAGGCACAAAGACAGGAAGTAACTTTTTGAAAAGTCAGACTTACAACCTCAGTTCTTAGTGAATAGTCTGGAGCTTTTTCTTGAGTTGTTTTTTTCTTCTTTTTTTGGCTAGGCAGTGGTGTTAATTGTCTTGCCCAGGGTCACACAGATAGTAAGTGTCAAGTATCTGAGACCACATTTGAACTCAGGTCCTCCTGACTCCAGGGCTGGTGCTCTAACTAATGCATCACCTAGCTGCCCCTTGGGCCTCTTTCTTTAAGAAGGCTTTTGGGGTCAAACATCACAACCAGCTTCCTCTTCATGAGGGGCTGCATTCCAAAGGCCATTGCCTAAGGGGCTTTGTCTCATCTCTTCCAGGATCCCTTTCAGGAGATGCTGGTCCCATTGCTTCTCTCACAGTTAATTGTTTCTCAGAGATCTCAGTGGGACCCCAGCATCTGATTGGTGATCTTCATGGGTGTCTAGCTCCTGAAGAGTGGTCTTGGGGGAATCAGCAGCAGCCTCCATAGTAATGTCAAGTATATTATTTTTGAGCCTCTTCCCCTCTCTCAAAATCCCAGAAGGTGCCAGACTCCGAAGGCAGTTGTAGTGTCTGCCATGGATATCACCCTCATAGAGGGATCTACAATTAAGTGTCAGGTCTCTATTCAGATGTCTACTTGTCCACCTGACTCCCATGAAAGTGACAAATCAAATCCAAGTCCCCAGTTGAGACCACCACTTGTGTTCCAGGACCTCACTCAAACCCCAATAGTAACAGGACATAGCAACAGCCACATTGTATGATGACTGACTTTGATAAACTTAGCCCTTTTCAGAAATGCAAGAATCTAAGACATCTCCAAAACTCTTTTGATGGAAAATGCTATCCACATCCAGAGAAAGAAGTATGGAGTTTGAATATAGATTGAAGCATACTCTTTGCTCTTTTTTTTCCTTCTGTTTTGTTTTGTTTCCTCTTTCTTGTGGTTCCTCCTATTGGTTCTAATTCTTCTTTACAACATGACTAATGTGAAAATGTGTTTAATAGGAATGTATGTGTAGAGCCTATATCAGATTGCACATTGTCTGGGGAAGGGAGGTGGGGAGGGAGGGTGAGAAAAATGTAAAACTCAAAAGGGTATGGAAGTGATTTTTGAAAACTTAAAATAAAGTAATAACAAATAAAAATTAACATTTCATTTGTTCTAATTACAGATAAAGATAAATTTTAACATTATTTTTCAAAAATATTGCATTCCAAATTTTTTCTCCCTTCCTTTCCACATTCCTAAGACAGTATGTGCAATTATGTAAAACATTTTTCCATATTAGTCATGTTGTGGAAGAAGAAGCAGACCAAAAAAAAAAAGCACCAAAACAATAAAGTGAAAATAGTATGCTTCAGTGTGTATTCAGACTTCATCAGATCTTTCTCTGTATATGAATACATTTTTCCTCATGATTCCTTTGCAATTGTCTTAGACCATTGTGTTGCTGAGAAGAGCTGTCATTCATACCTGATCATCCTACAATGTTGCTATTACTGTGTGCCATATTCTCTTGGTCTTCTTATTCACTTCAAATCAGTTCATGTAAATCTTTCCAGATTCTTCTGAAATCTGCCTGCTGTACATTTCTTATAGCATAGTAGTATTCCATTACATTCATACGTCCCAGCTTGTTCAGCCTTTCCCCAATTGATGGGCATCGACTCCATTTCTAATTCTTTGCCACCACAAAAAGCGCTGCTATAAGTATTTTTGTACAATTAGGTCCTTTCCATTTTTTTTTTTTGATCTCTCTGGAATGCAGCTGTCCTAGTGCTATTGCTCAATCAAGGGATATGCTTGGTTTGCCCTCTGGGCATAGTGAAAATTTCTCTCCAGAATGGTTGGAACAATTCACAATTCCACCAGCAGTGTATTAGAGTCCCAATTTTCCCACATCCCCTCCAACATTTATCATTTTCATTTTTTATCATATTGGCCAATCTAATAGCTGTGAGATGGTAACTCAGAGATGTCTTATTTTGTCTTTCCCTAATTGATAGTGATTTGGAGCACTTTTTCATATGACTATAGATAACTTAGATTTTTTCCTCAAAACTGCCTGTTCATATCCTCTGACCTTTCATATGCATTGGGGAATGACTTCCATTCTTATAAATTTGACTCAGGTCTCTATATATTTAAGAAATGAGGTCATTATGAGAGATATTTGCTATCAAGTTGTTCCCCACCTTTCTGCTTTCCTTCTAATCATGGTTGCATTGGTTTTGTTTGTGCAAGAAGTTTTTCATGTAATAGAATCAAAATGACTCATTTTACTTTTTGTAATGCTTTGTATCTCTTGTTTGGTTCTAAATTCTTCTCTGTTTCATTTATCTGACAGGTAAACTATTCCATGCTCTCCTAATTTACTTATGGTATCACCCTGTATGTTTCAATCATGTATCCATTTTGACCTTCTCTTGGTATACAGTGTAAGATGCTGTTCTATGTCTCATTTCTGCCATACTGTTTTCTAGTTTTCCCAGAAGTTTTTGTCCAATAGTGAGTTCTTGTCACAGAAACTGAGGTCTTTGGGTTTTTCAAACATTAGATTACTATGGCCATTTACTACTATGTCTTGTTTACTTAATCCATTCCACTGATCCACTATGTTATTTACCACATAGTTTTGATGACCACTGCTTTATAATACAGTTTGAGATCTGGTAGAGTTAGTCCATCTAACTTCTCATTTTGTTTCATTA